CAGGGCTCCAGACTGCGACCATTTTTTCACAGCAAAAATGACGCGCATATTGAGGAAAAGATGTTGTTAAACGTTTTGTAAACTAGTTTGTCATTGTATCTTACTGATTTATTGTTGTTGTGCTTTTTAATTAAGAATAACAATGAGGCCATCTTTTGTTTTAGTCTTTAAAAATGAAAGGTGTGTAGATGTATTTAAGCAAAACAGGGACAACAAGATCGCGAATTTGAAAGTGAAAGCATCCTAAGCCCGCGGCTTAATACAGCAAAAGAGAAACTCATATTCACAAAATTCAAATCACAAATAATACTACTGATGATAAAGAACGGGTTGAATGTTAACCACTTTCGTTTCCATTTAACTATAAACTATGATAAAAGTTTATCAGCATGCATTGAATGTTGTAGTGCAAAAAAAAAAAAAATATTGCGACCAAATCATGTGCTCATGCGACCAGCTGAGAAAGTTAGTTGCAAAAGAGCGACCAGTGGGAAGAATGAGTCTGGAGCCCAGGCTATACAGTGCATGAAAAGCAAACTGGTGCTCTTCTGTTTCTTTTGGTGTATGACTCCCCCTTGTCTCGTATAAAAAGCACAATAATCGCTTGTGTCTGAAACAACCGCGGTTAGATCAAATTATCGCGATTAGACGGTTATTTAATTATCGCGACAGGCCTACTTTAAACATTCAAATTAAATTATGCTGCACTTTATGCATTTGCCCACTGTCATATTCATGTCATTTTCACTGTGCGCTGTATGTAAAATGAGTGTTACCTTGGCTTTATTTGAAAAAATATGATTCCCAATGCACACAAACTTCCCAGAATACTGAGTGCTCTGTTGGTTACAGTTTACTTTTTTTTCAATTAGATTTTTATTAAATATTTATTTATTTATGGTAAATACTTTGTCATCTAGTATGTCATAAAGTATGTTTATTTTACAAATGTATTTTTAATCTATTTTCAAATGATTTCAAATTTCTTAAATATTAATTAAAATAAGTACAATTATTTCGGCTTTATATCGGCCATCGGCCACCCTGCTTTCCAAGATATCGGCATCGGCTGTCAAAAAACCAATATCGGTCGACCACTAATCATATTACCCCTTTAATAAAGACAGAATATTCATTTTGGGTGAATTATTATACAGGAAAATTTCCAGCATGAGAGATTTAAAAAAAATAATTGTTACATCTATATTAGCACTAGAACTCTTTGAAGAATAGAATTGCACATTATTTACACCACATGTTGCAACTCCACAGTGATGGAGAATAAGCACCAAGTAACTGATCATATGAAGGCACAATCTTTCACATCTCCAAATTCTTTGGAGTCACAGAGTTCAGTGGATAATTGGT